TAGAAGAATCACATGCCAAAATCAAGTAGGATTTATACCAGGATGCAAGGATGGTTCAACATATGCAAATTAATAATATGCTCCACATTAACAAAAACATCTATTTATTCTTTATTGACTACGTCAAAGCCTTTGACTGTGTGGATCACAATAAATTGTGTAAAATTCTGAAAGAGATGGGGATACCAGACAATCTGACCTGCCTCTTGAGAAACCTGTATGCAGGTCAGGAAGCAAGTTAGAACTGGACATGGAACAATAGAATGGTTCCAAATAGGAAAAGGAGTACATCAAGGCTGTTTATTGTCACCCTGCTTATTTAACTTATATGCAGAGTACATCATGAGAAACACTGGGCTGGATGAAGCAAAAGCTGGAATCAAGATTGCCGGGAGAAATATCAATAGTCTCAGATATGCAGATGACACCACCTTTATGGCAGAAAGTGAAGAAGAACTAAAGAGCCTCTTGAGGAAAGTGAAAGAGGAGAGTGAAAATGTTGGCTTAAAGCTTAACATTCAGAAAACTAAGATCATAGCATTCGGTCCCATCACTTCATGTCAAATAGATGGGGAAACAGTGGAAACAGTGTCAGACTTTATTTTTGGGGGCTCCAAAATCAGTGCAGATGGTGATTGCAGACATGAAATTAAAAGACACTTACTCCTTAGAAGGAAAGTTATGACCAACCTAGACAACATATTAAAAAACAGAGACATTACTTTGCCAACAAAGGTCCATCTAGTCAAGGCTATGGTTTTTCCAGTAGTCATGTAGGGATGTGAGAGTTGGACTATAAAGAAGGCTGAGCTCTGAAGAATTGATGCTTTAGAACTGTGGTGTTGGAGAAGACTCTTGGGAGTCCCTTGGACTGCAAGGAGATCCAACCAGTCCATCCTAAAGGAGATCAGTCCTGGGTGTTCATTGGAGGGATTGATGTTGAAGCTGAAACTCCAATACTTTGGCCACCTGATGTGAAGAACTGACTCATTTGAAAACATCTGGATGCTGGGAAAGATTGAAGGCAGGAGGAGAAGGGGATGACAGAGGATGAGATGGTTGGATGGCATCACAGACTCAATGGACATGGGTTTGGTTGGACTCCGGGAGTTGGTGATGGCCAGGGAGGCGTGGCATGCTGCAGTTCATGGGGTTGCGAAGAGTTGGACACGACTGAGCGACTGAACTGAACTGAACATTAACAAAATGAAGGTGAAAAATCATATGATCATCTCAATAGATGCAGAAAAATTACTTGACAAAACTCAACCTCCTTTTGTAATAAAATCTCTCAGTATACTGGTTATAGAAGGCTTGAACATAACCAAGACCATTTCTTACAAGCCCACAGCTAACATCATACTCAATGGTAAAAAGCTGAAAGCTTTTCCTTTAATGATAGGTACAAGACAAGGATGCCCACTAATGCCACATTTTTTCAGTTTAGAACTTGGAAGTCTCAGAGTAATTAGGCAAGTAAAAGAAATAAATGGTATTCAAATCAGAAAGGAAGAAGATTGTCTCTGTTTGCAGATCAATGGTATTACATAAGAAAACTCTACAGTCTCCACCAAGAAAACAATTAAAGCTAATACATGAAATCAGTAGAGTTTCAGGTAATGAAATCAATATACAAAAATCGGTTGTTTTTCTCTATACCAACAACTAATTATTGGAATTAGAAATTGAGTACAGTTTCATTTACAATTACATCAAAACAATAAAATAACTAGAAATAAATGTAAATGAAGAGAAATACTTATGTATTAAAAATTGTGAGCTATTGACAAAAAAGAATGAAGAAACAAATAAGTTGAAAATATTCCATGTTCATGCATTGAAAGAATTAATATTGTTAAAATATAATTTAAAATGTAATTTAATATACATTTGAAATGTTATTATTGGGCTTCTCTGGTGGCTTAGACAGTAAAGAATCTGCCTGCAATGTGGGAGACCTGGGTTTGATCCCAGGGTTGGGAAGATCCCCTGGAGGAGGGCATGGCAACCCATTCCAGTATTCTTGCCTGGAGAATCCCCATGGACAGAGGAGCCTGGTGGGCTACAGTCCATGGGGTGGCAAAGAGTCAGACCTGACTGAGTGACTAAGCACCACACAGCACAGAAAGTGTATACTACCCAAAGGAATCTAAAACTTTCATGCAATCCCTAACAAAATTTCAATGCTTTTTTTCACAGAAACAGGAAAAGCAATCCTAAAATATGTATAACATCACAAGAGATCCAAATAACCAAAGCAATTAAGAAAGAGTAACAAGGCTAAAGGCTTTATAACTTCTGGTTTCAAACTCTTTTACAGAGTTAAAGTAATCAAAACAGTATGGTACTGTCATTAAAAATAGAGAGCCCAGAAATAACCCATGCATCTATGGTCAATTTTTGGCAAAAAGTCAAGAATATACAATGGGAAAAAGCCAGTTTCTTTAATAAATGGTGTTAGGAACAACAGATAACCACATGCAAAAGAATGAAATTAGACACTTATCTTACACCACACAGAATAATCAATGCAAAATGGATTAAAGACTTGAATGGAAAAGCTGAAACCATAAAATCCTACAAGATTTTATAGTGGTAATTTTCTTTGGCCTTGGCAATGACTTTTTAGATTTTACATCTAAAAAAGGCAAATGCAATAAAAGCAAAACTAAACAAGTAGGCTACATTAAACTAAATAGCTTCTGCACAGCAAGAAAACCATAAAAAAAATGAAAAGGCAACCTACTGAATGGGAGAAAATATTTGCAAACCACATGTGATAAAGGGTTAATATTCAAAATATACAAAGACTTTATAGAATTCAACAGCAAAAAAAAAAAACCAAATAACCCAATTAAACATGTGTAAAGAACCAGAATAGATGTTTCAAAGAATACATACAAATGGCCAATGGGTACATGAAAAGGTGTCCAACATTACTTATATCAGAGATATGCAAATCAAAACCTCAATGAGATATCACCTCATACCTGTTCACATATCTGTTATCAAAAATACAAGAGATAACAAGTATTGGTAAGAATGTAGAGAAAAGGGAACCCTTGTACGCTGTTGGTAAGAATGTTAATTGATGCATCCACTATGGAAAACAGTATGGAGGTCCCTTAAGAAATTAAAAATAGGACTACCATGTGATCCAGCAATTCTAACTCTGTATATATAATTGAAGGAAACAAAATCACTATCTTGAAGAGATAATTGCACTCCAGTGTTCATTGCAGCATTATTTACAGTATCCAATGTATGGAAACAACCTAAGTGTTATTAGGTACATCAATCAATAAAGTATAGTAAATATACACAATGGAATATTATTCAGCCATAAAAAAGAAAGAAATCTTACCTTTGCAATAACATGGATGAACCTGAGGGCATTATGCTAAGAGAGGTAAGCCAGACAAAAACAAATATGCATGATATTGCTTATACATGGGGGAAAAGTTGTAGTGCATATAAACTGAATGGAATGGTGGTTATTACATGCTGGGCATGGAAGAAATTGGGAGAGGCTGGTAAGCTTTTAGCTATAAGATGAATAAAGTTTTAGGATATAATGTAAAACATGACTACAGTTGATAATACTGTATTGTATATTGAAATTCGCTAGGAGAGTAGAACCTAAGCATTCTCACCAAAAAAGGGAAAAAATGTCCCATCTTAAATGTGGGGATCCTTTCACAATGTATATATGCATTAACTCATTTGTACACTTAAAAAATACAATTTTATTTATCAATTATAGCTCAAGCTGAAAAAAAAATCTACTTAACAAATCCTTTGCCCATATTGAATTAGGTTATTTATTTTTGAGTTGTAGGAGTTATTTATACATTCTAAATATTAGTTGCTTATCTGGTATATGACATGCAAGTATTTTCTCCCATTCTGTGCATTGTCTTTTTACTTTCTTGATAGTGTCCTTTGATGTACAAGCATTTTAAAAACATTGATGAAGTGTAATTTATCTGTTTTTTCTTTTGTTCCCTGTGTTTTTAGTATCATATCTAAGAAATCATCACTAAATCCAATGTTAAGAAGATTTACTCCGATGCTTTCTTCTAAGACTTTTATAGTGTTAGCTTTTATGTTTGTCTTTGATCCATTTTGAGTTAATTCATGTATATGGTGTGAGGCAAGGGTTCATTCTTTTGCATGTAGATATCCAGTTTTCTTTGTTACATAAGTTGAAAGAAACTCTCCCACATCAAACAGTCTTTTTCTGAGCATTTATTTTAGGGCTTTCTAGTCTATCTCAGAACTATATGTCTGTCGTTATACCAGTGCCACACTGTATTGATTTCTATAGCTTTGTATTTAGTTTTGAAATCAGGAACTGTATGTTTTCCAAATTTGTTGTTCTGTTTCAAGATTATTTTGATAATTAATAATAAAATATTTTAAAGTACATTCTAAACAGCTTATGTTTTTATAAACTGTATGTGTCATGTGTATGCAAATGACATCCACAATTTATATTTTAAGTCTGCCCTGTCTTGAGCTCTAGACTTAGAACTGCCTGACATCTCCACCATGCTTCTCAATGTTAACAGGTCAAAAACACAAATTTTAATCTCTTCTTTGAATTGTGTTTCTCCTGGCTTCCATACTTTAGTAAGCAACATCACACACTTTTGGAGAAGGAAATGGCAACCCACTCCAGTATTCTTGCCTGAGGAATCCCATGGACAGAGGAGCCTGATAGGCTACAGTCCATGGGGTCACAAAGAATCAGACACAAATGAGCGGCTTTCAGTATCACACACTTTTTCTCTACCACTGCTCCTATCCCCATCCCCACCATATTCAATCCCTCAACAAGTCCTGTTGGCTTTTCCTTCTAAACATCTCCCCAATCTGACCACATCCATCCCTATTACTGCATCCAAGTTACAGTCATTATGTTCCCCCAACCCCTGATCCAGTCTACTCTATTTACAGAAGTCAGGAAGTCTGAGAAAAGATGAATTGTAGAATCTTACTTTGAAGACGTTTGTCCATGTATTCTAGGATTAATCTGAACATTTGAATTATTGCAAGAATTAAAGATCCAAATGCTAGGGATCCTGTGTGATATCTGGACAAAGATAAAATGAGAATAAAGGTTAAAATATTTTTACTAAGAACTAAAAGGATGTTAATTTTTATTAACTAAAGGGTAAAAGGGTCGATAGAAAAGAACTTCTAGTCTCTTATTCAGATTGACAAAGGTCTCCATAGAGGCCTTTAAACCATATACATCCATTTTGTAAAATGATACCGATAGCCTATCATTTAATATTGATTTTATGTTTGAGCTGAGCAATGAAGAAAGAGAGACAAGTTCATCCTTAGTCTTTAATTTAGTGACCTCCCCTACTTCTTCACTCCAGTAACCTTTTAGGATTGGCCTCGGTAGGGGTTAAAAATAAAATCATGGCTATAAAACCAGACAAAGCCAATGGACATTCATGAATCTTGAATTATACCTCTGACCTCAAGTACTTTGCCACTTTAATTATAAGCACACTCAACATAACTGGGAAGACAGATGTAGTGTCCAATGTGAAATTTACCTTATGGCTCGTCCAAATGCAGTAAAAAGTGGATAGGGTGGGATGTCATCAGGTTTCTTCAAGGCCCAATAATAAGAAGCAAAGGCACCAGCAAGGGCACACTGACCCAATGCAATGACAAAGTTTATAAGCCAGAGAAAGACGAATAGATTGAGTAACTGGAAGGTAGTGATGTATTGATGATATAGGCTCTTTCCACCATAGAAAGCAAAATGACACTGAGCCCCAGGGCAAGCTTTGGCAATTTCAGTTGTATTAAAATCCTGCACTCAGAAGAAAGAAACCAACAAGGATAATATAATAATACTATTCCAAGATCATGCCTTCCCTGCCTTCTCTTGTGTAGCCCCCAACTGCTTGTCCTGCTCCTCTTCTATGAGCTTCTGCTGTTATTTCTATTTGCTATAACATCACTTTATACAGTTCTTTCATGAGTTATGGAAAAGCATCTCATTTTACCATTACATGTTCATTAGTCTGCATCTACTGTACTTTTACATTTACTAGTGTGGTTGTTGACTGCACATGCTTCTTAGGTATAAGACACGACAAGGGAGCTCAGGCAGTAGCAGTGCTTTCTCTCTGTTCTGCCCACTGTTCTCCGTCCTAACAGCTGACTCACTCTCCCCATCTCTACAGTGATCCTCATCAGTGCACAGGGTCTCTACTACAGGAGCATTCCTACAACAGTTGTTGGATGAAATGTAGCAGAGCTCTTTGCTAAAGTAAATAAAAGAGTTTCTTTTACTTACCACTGGGTCACAGGTTTTATTTTCATGTTCACATCGCCCCTGTGGGGCTATGACTTTGTATATAGGTGCCCCTGATGTAGCCAAGTAACTGAGTGAACTCTATTAAGGTTCAATTATTTGCTGGTAGATTGAAAATAAATGGACAAGAAAATCATGTGTGGATAACTCAAAAGCGTACTGAAAGGCTAATTTCAAAAAACTTATAATCTAATAATTCATTCATTTTAAGACCCAGAGTAACAACATAACATGGGTCAGCTACACTGAGTGGCCCCTTAAAAGCAATGAAATATAAAAGAGTGTGTGTTTTTTTTTTTTAGGTATTGCAAAGGAGAAGTACCATATGTGTAGATAAAATAAAACAAAATCTACCATATGACCTATTTGAGGGGAAATTCAATTGGTTCACTTTTTTAGAACTTAGCAGTCATCACCATCATCATCATCATCATTTCAATTATATCTTTAGGATGTTTCAAGTCTATTCAGGATGGAAAGGTATATAAACTCCCAGCTTCTGAGTAATAATGTGGACCTGAGGTTTAAAGAGGTCAATTACCAAAGGATACAGTGCTACCACAGCCCAGTAGGAAATGCAGACTGAGAGGAAAAAGAAAGTTAAAGCTGGATAAATTAAAGTACTAGGGATGTATCCAATGGCTCTGAAATAAAACAAATAGTTGAAATTCAAAATGATACAGTTACAATTTCTCAATTAAAATTTCATCTTTTAGAACTAGACTGAATTCATTCAAAGAACAGTGGTAATAACCACTGACTTTTTTTTGCTGGTGTATTCATAGTTGGTTTTAATTTTTATTTATTTATTAAGTTAATAGCATTCTTTCAGTGCTTATGTTTGATTCCTGCCAAAAGTTCTCCAAACCTTCTCCTCTTTGGTTATTTCTGTCTAACTCAGAAAGACTTCATGCATTATAATCATGGTATTTCTCCCTTTGGTTTAGACATTTAAAATTGCAGAGGATCTTGACAATCATCTGATCAAATGTGAGAATCCATCTCTAATTCAAGAATCCCTTCTGAACTGTCTTCAGAACATGTTCCTTAGTCTCATATGACACAACTTATTCTATTTTCTGAACAACCAAAGTATTAGGAAGTTCTTCTGCATGTAATTCACATCCACTACCTTCTGGAGGAGAAATGACCACCTTTTCCATACAGCAACCCTTTAAGTAACTCTTTCATTTTCCAGGATAAATAAGTACTTTGATATTTCCTCCTAAGATATGCTTTCTAAAATATTCACATGCTGATTACTCTATTACTAACTACTTTTGAATAATTTTTTAGCATATGATGCTAAATTAACTCTATGTTGTTTGATATAGCCACTGAGAACTACAATAGAACTATTTTTACTCCTAATGTATTGACACATTTTTTTCTTCAGTCACGTCATGGGGCATGCATAATCCTAGTTCCTGGACTGGCTGATGGAACCCTTGCCCACTACAGTGGACGCGCAGAGCCCTAACCACTGGACCACTAGGGAGTTCCCACACTGATGCATTTTAGATTCATTTTTTTTATTTGTTACCTTCTCCAACTCACTATTTAGACTATGCTATCCTCTCTTTCCTCCAGACACTGATGTGAGTGAAACACTGGGCATCCCTATGATTACCCTGTATTCTCACGCCAATTTGTTCGAGCTCTATTTTCCTTTGAAAAAAAAAAAAATCTTTAATCTGTCACAGTAGTAAATGCCCTTTAAAACACACATTCACACACACACATTTAGAGGCATAGCAGTTAGAAAAGTGAATTGTACAATATCATATTATTTAAGGAATAACCCAGCAAATCAGTAGCTTTCAGTGGCTAATGATAGGGCTTCAGTTATTGTGAGGGCAGATTTAATTTAGCAAACAGATTGTTAACTATTTCAAACACTGGCTCTAGGTGGCACTATTATTATTACAGATGACGATTTTGTTAAAACAATCTTTAAAGACTATTTAAAATAATTTGGTCCTTGGTCATTAACAACCCAGTTTCCATTGTTCTTAACAAAGAACATGATCTGTTGGCTTTTAGTAATACTTTCTTTGTTGTTTCCATGCATTATTCAAAAGTTTAATGTATTACCTTCAAGTGAATTTTTGGAATAGTTTAGAAACTGTAGGTGTTATTACCTCACAGCGTGAATTTTATGAAAAATTGTGTTTATTTTGTAGCATTTTAAAATAAAAATGACTCTGGGTATACAATGTTCTTGAATTGAGAGCTATAGATACAAAACCCTATAGTCTGGTGCTGCTAAGACCAATTACTCTGTATACTGGCAAATTTTGTTACTTATACAAAACTAGCAAGAGCACATAATTGACAATTACAGTGATCTGCAGCTCTGCAAATGATATCAACCATCAGTATTAACATACGACTCAGTATGGGAGTAATACAACATATAATATAACTAACTTTTATTAGCACTTTATCACTTACTTTCACATAAGCTATCCTCCTAACATATATTTGGTGTTTTAAAAAAGTGTTAGTGCACAGACTACACAGGTTTTAGCTTTATTTTGCTCTAAGATAATTGATGTTTGGGGATTTTGAAAGACTTGTTAGTGTGAACTTTTTAATATGTGGCAAAGTCTGAACTTGAACAAGTTTTCTTGAATGGTAAGCAGATTTAACAAGCCATCTTAAAGGGAAAAGAGTCTGGGGCATCTACAAATAAGCAGTGACTGATATGAATGACGGATATACATTATGCGAGTCTCTCCATCAAGGCCTTACTTGCTCCCCTCCTTCAGCAGGGCGATGGAGATACGGATTCGGTCCCTGAGGAAGATCAGCATGAGGATGATGAACAGTTCAAGGAGGCAGAGTATTACCACTTCAAACAGGAAAAAAATATTAGTGTGCGATGCAAATCAACCCAAAGAGCAAACTTTCTCTGCAAACATTAGACTGATCTTCATGATGATTTCTGCCAGCTCTGACACTTCCTAATTTAAGCAGTGCTACCTCTCCAAAGATGCCAGTTTTAGAAATTCACTTTTAAAACCTCTGAGAAATGCTTTAAAAAAATTCTGGATTAAAAATTTTAGCTAGAATTTAAACTGTGTTGGACAGGCTTCATTTTATCTATGGAAACATTTCGCACCACTTGTAGAAATGAGAAAATAGGCATAGAAGAAAAAGAAGGGCTGCTTTAGACAACTCTATTTTAGATGTTTTCACGTGTAAACTTCTCTGAGTAAGAGAATCATTACAGAACAAAGTTTTTGAGCTGCTGCCAGGCTCACAATGCCTCTTAATTGATCTTGCTGAGGGACAGGGTGGGGCTCTGGGTACCACAGTTTTAGTTTGTGACCCCACCCATCATGACTGCCTTGATACAATCAGTGTAATGCCAACCCAAGCTGTGTAATAAAAGTGAGAATTCAAATTAAAGGAATCCAGTTCAGTTTTTTTTTGCTCTACCACATTGTGAACCACTGTAAGTATACATATAACCCCTCCCTCCTGAGCCTCCCTCTCACCCCTCAATCCACTCCTTTAGGTCTAGTTTAGTTTTGAATTGACATTTGTATGCCTCTTGAACTAAGAGGCATAACATTAACTGTGTCAAAACCATATTTATGTAAAGTAAGTGAACCTGCAAAGAAAGAATAAAGTGTACGAGTGTAAAGAAAGAGAGCAAATAGAGGGAATCTTGGTTCCATTTTGGATTTTTGTTTCCTAGATCCAGGTCCACCTGGAAGTCCAGCTGCTTTTCTGCTATTTTGAGTCTGGTGAGACACTTCTCTGTTCTTAGAATAAATGCCTCTGCCTTGCCTCCAACTTTGTTTTTACTTGAAGCCAAACAGCCCTAATTATTATATTTCCTCAATTCTATGCCATACCTTTAATTTGGTAATAACCTTTGAGGAAAAGTAAAAAATCCTTTATTAAATGTCTGTCTATTGATTATAAAATGCATCCTAACTTCAGAGATGTTAAAAAGTGAGAAGATATGGAGTCTAAATTAAGGAATATAGTACGACTAATAACAGATTCTGAAATCATGAAAGAAACTTAATAAAAAGTTAAATTCCTACCCATGAAAGGATCCACTCTACAACGTTCCTGCTAGTTATTCTGCTCATGTCTGAACACTTCCAATCAGAGGACACTCATTATTTTATTCTATTGTTATACCACTAAGATTCAGATGTTTATCATAGCTCAGTTAGTATCTCCAAGTGAGGAGAAAGCAGTTAACCCAGAGATGCGGGAGGTTCTCAGTAATAGAACATCTCCCTGCTACATCTCCTTTTATTTCAACTATGTATTTATGTTTTTATGCATAATTGATTCTTTTAAAGCTACACTGAGCCCAAAACTGGGGAGTGTAGCCATAGTAAGCTAAAATCATTATCTTCTTTGGATAAACTTAAGGATATAAATTGTATCAGTCACTTTATGTTTCAAATTGCATAGAAAAAGAACATTGCATATTAAATTTGTACCTTTACAAAATTATATTATTGTAAATGGTTTTATTAAAGAAATTCAGCACCCTTTTGAATTTATATATTCCCTCCTTTTGTTTAAATAAGAGCAAACAATAGAAACATATTTTTTGAGACCCTACAGAGAAGCTGGTATAAATCTAACTTTATCAAGGAGGCTGGGGTAATTAATAGAAATGAGAATAGAACCATCTTCTAATACAATCCAAGACTCATAAAATGATAATTTTTATGTGCATTACTCCACATATTTTTAGTGTTTATGTCAATAAGTATAATTTCACATGTATACCCTTGTCAGTGGTGCTAAGAATTATAAGCACAGAGCAAATAATATCTGATATTATTTCATAATGGATTATGAAAGTTAACACTCATTTGAGGAAAGATAAGTATTCCTAGACTTGAAAATAAAAGCAAGCTCTGCATTTTCCTCAAAGTACCTCTCTTAACTTTTCCAATGGCAGATTCTATCATCTCAATGATTTTGCATCGAAGACCCTTAAAAGACAGCAGCAGGATGACCATAGAACCTGTAACTAACATCCATCTGAGAGTAAAACTAGAGGTTTCAACACATAATGGATGAGATTTGTCATCTTCAGAAATGATACATGACAGTATGTGGACTGCTGACGGATATAGAGTCACTCAAATTCAGGAAAAGGGATGAGGATATAAGTCCCAAGATGCTTGAATTTTATAGTAAAAAAAAAAAAGAAAGAAAGAAATGGCTATCAATGAAGTTCTTCTGAAATATATTTGAAAAAACTAATGTGTTATATTATTGAAGGGAATTAGCTGCATGAGAGCTAGAAATGGGAACCCAAAGAGCAAAAATCTGGCATTTTGAGCTAGCACTATCCAAGGAACAGAGAAACACTGAATATGGCTGACACAGGAATCTGGTGGGGGCTTCTGTGCAGCCGGGGTAGGTCATGTCACCAGACATGGTGACATGCTGTGAGCCTGTCTCTGAAAGCCACCCAAATGACTTCTGGGTGAAGTGGCAAAATTAAATTTTCAGATTTATGTTAAGGGATTCATTCTGGAATCATGATGCTCTCCAAGATATTGCCTCCTCTTAGGCTGTCTGGCCTCCTTACCAGGCTTCCTCAAACTTATCTTGCCTGGCTCGCTAACTTCAACAATATAGGAAGATGAATTTTTTTTTAAAGCACCATGTAATTAGAGATCATTTTAAAAATATTGATTAAAGAACATGAATCTCTGTAAAGAACAAGGAATAGTATAATAAAAACTATTAAAGCCATCTTTGAAATCATCTACCTTTCAAAATTCTGTTAATATTACCTTTAACTAACTCAATCTAAATAAACACTAAAAAATGTAAATTTTTAACTAACTCAATCTAAATAAACACTAAAAAATGTAAATTTGTAAAAATTACTTATTATTCCAATTCTATAACAAGTAGTTTAAAAGTCCTGTCATGAAAAACTTGTTTCTTCATTTTCTTTTTTCTTTTTCTGGTTTTAAATGCAAGTTTGAAATATCAAGCATTTTTTCCCTTTAAAATATCTCTCTTAGATATTAGATTAATGGCTATAAATGTCTATATCTGACTCATGTTAAGTTGAAGGCAAATAGCTTGAGATCACTGTACAGTAACATTTTCTTAGATTATATAATAAATTCCCCTCAATGACCTTCCATACTATGACTAGTAGTATTATAGACACTTATTTTAATGATGTTAGCAATAGATGTATTTAACAAGTTATACCAACCCAAGTTTTCTTTGGACAAAAAAGATGCTTTCTTGTTATTACAGTTTTAACAAAGCAAATTTTTAAAATCCACTCACTAAGTGCGAACCATGTTTGTTTCAGGCGAAAGTACATGCTTATGTCAGTCTGAATCCCAATGGTATATACATTTAACTGAGAACCTGGATGTTCCTGAAGACGGCTGTATTCTAGGTAACAGCGCCATATTCCTTGAAAAAGAGAGAAAAGTAGACTAATATAAAATGTTATTTTCTGAAATATAAGCACACATCTACATGAAATTGATTAGCATGGTCATTTTTACAAAGGAAAGATTCCCATTTACACATTAAATATTTTATGTGCATCCAACAGTCTAAATGTGCTATCATATTCAACATAAATTTTTTCAGTATCTTGTTGGATGACCACGGCAACACCCGACTTTAAATGTCCTTTTAATTAGAAACAACCTAATGTCCATCAGTAATGACTGGTTAAAAATATTATAGTATATTTACACAGTAGAATACTGTATCTCCATATAAAGAGGAGAAAGTCTCTAGTGATAGTGAATGATCACTAGATGCTTTGTTAAATGAAAAAAAGAAGTACAAAATTATAAAATTTATAAGATTATAAAAATTATATAAAATATTCTATAATTCATATAAGAAGTAAGGACAATATATGTATTTTCTTGTGCATACATAAAATATCTCTGGGAAGATACATAGGAATACAGTATTTTCTGTATCCCTTCACTTTCAAGCTTCCAATTTCCTTATGTTTTTGTAACTTCTATAAAGAACACAGCTCCAGTTTGTATGTTTATATTTTAATCTGATAATATATATTATTATTATATAATAATATAATATATATTATATATACTATATTATATAATAATATAATATATATTATATATACTATATTATATATTATAATAATATTATATATATTAATATATATTAAACCTGATAATCTCTGTATTCTAATTGGTGAGCTTAATATGTTTAATGTATTGCTATATTTACTTTTGTTTCAACCGTCTTTGTTTTTGTATTTCCTGTTCTACTTTGTATTAACACTTCCAATTCTTGTCCTTTAAAAACCGATCAGTTTTTGTTTCTTTTTTTTTTTCCCAATTCACTTTTTTTTTCTCAGAATTTATTTTTTTTCATTTTTTTTCATTTATTTTTATTAGTTGGAGGCTAATTACTTTACAATATTGTAGTGGTTTTTGTCATATATTGACATGAATCAGCCATGGATTAACTTATATTCTGTTTTCCCCCTTTACTGGTTTAGAGATATCTACTATATTTTTAGAATAAATTACTCTTGACAATTGACTGTGTACTTACTAACCAAGTCTAAAGTCAGCCCAGGAAATATAAGAACCTTACATTAGTCAATAATCATCCCAGTCCGATTATTTCTCTGTATTTTACTTATGTACAGTTATACCTCAAAAAATTGGATATTATCATTATTTTGTGCAAAGTTTCTTAAGTTCTGTGCTGTGCTGTTAGTCCCTCAGTCATGTTCAACTCTTTGTGACCCCTACAGACTATAGCCTGCCAGGCACCTCTGTCCATGGGGATTTTCCAGGCAAGAATACTGGAGTGGGTTGCCGTGCCCTCCTCCAGGGGATCTTCCCAACCCAGGGATTGAACCCAGGTCTCCCACATTGCAGGGGAATTCTTTACTGTCTTGGTCACCAGGGAAGCGCTACCTACACATTTACCAATTAATTTTCTTTGCTCGCCATTCATTCTTGCATCTCATACATTTTTGCGGAATCATTTTTCCCTTTAGTATTAATATATGTCTACTTGTAAACTCTAGTTTTTACTTATCTTAAAATATCTTCAGTGTTACTCTCATTCTTGAAAGATAGTTTTGCTGAGTGTACAGCTATGTAAAGTGAAGTGAAGTCAAAGTGAAGTGAAGTGAAGTCAAGTGAAGTCACAAGTCAGTCAGTCGTGTCCGACTCTTTGCGACTCCATGGACTGTAGCCCACCAGGCTCCTCTGTCCACGGGATTTTCCAGGCAAGAATCCTGGAGTGGGTTGCCATTTCTTTCTCCAGGAGATCTTCCCGACCCAGGGACTGAACCCTGGTCTCCCACATTATAGGCAGACGCTTTACTGTCTGAGCCACCCAGGGAACTCCTGATAGTGGTATACTCAGGAAAAAATGTCCTGAAATTTTTATCTGACCAAATTCCAGTATAAGCCCATAGTACTGCACACCCAGGGAGGGTCAGCTATAGGTTGACTGTTATTTTTTTCTTAGCTCTTTGAAGGTATTATTTTTCTCCTTTTCTTGCTGTCAAAAAGTCTTCAGCTTAACTGTTCCTTTGTATGCAATCTGTCTTTTCTCTCTGATCGTTTTTATAATATTTTGTCTTTGGTATTCTGAACTTTCACAATTTCTTTCTTTTACATCATTAATTTCTTGTTCTCTAATGTATCATTCCAAACAATATACAAGCATATTTTCCTTTCTCCCACCTTAAAGAATAAAACAAAAGAAAATCTATTTTTGACAGTCTTACCCCATCCACTGCCCGATTTCTTGTCCCTCATTGCAATAAAACTCTCCAAATAGCCCTGTATATTGTCTGTCTATAATTCCTCCCCTCCAGTCCTCCCTCAATCCACTCTAATTAGGCTTTTCTTCCTCATTATGCTACCAAAACTACCCTAATCAGATTACCAATGATCTTGCCATATTTATGTATCCAAAGTCTATTCTCAGTTCTTATCTTTCTTGACCTATCTGCCCCATTTGACATGGTTTATTGCCCCCTCCGTTTTTTTTTTTTAAACTTGGCTTCTATAACATCACATCCTTTTAGTTTTCAAAGAAGACCCATTTCTCCTCAGTTGTCTTTGCTGTTCCATTATCTTCTCTCTGACCTCTTAATGTTGCAGGGCCTCTGAACTCAGTCTTTGGTCCACATCTCTACCTACACCTAATTTCTTGGTGATCTCAGCCATTCTCATGGCTCTAATAATCCTGATTCCTAAATATATTTATTTAGGCTAATTTTCTAACTCTGTACATTCAACTGTATATCCAACTGCCTATGTGACATCTCCATCTTAATGCCTAATAAACATCTCGAACTCCACACATTCAAAATTACACTTCTGATCAATCCCCTTTCTAAACCAAGCTTGCTCCACTCAAACCTTTCCTATCTCATGTGTACATGCTAAGTCACCTCAGTTGTATCCAATTCTGTGTGACCCTATGGACTGCAGCCTGCCAGGCTCCTCCATCCAAGGGTTCTCCAGGCAAGAATACTGGAGTGGGTTGCCATTTCCTTCTCCAGGGGATCTTCCTGACCCAGGGACTGAGCCCAGGTCTCCTTGCAGGCAGATTCTGTCTGAGCCACGAGGGACTAAAGTCATGATCATTTCACAGCTCTCCTCTGCTCAAAACCCTACCTTGTCTCCCTGCTTCACTCAGAGTAAAAATAATCTAAGTCTCTGGCCCTCCAGAAATTCCTCATCTCCCATTCTCCCCTTTATTTGGTACACTCATCCACGCAAGCATTCTGTTTCTTCAACATGCTCCCATCTTTAAGACTTTGCTCTAACTGTACTTATTGTCTGGAACTTCTGTTATCTCCAGGGGCTAATCCCATTTTCTCCTTCAAGTGTTTTCTTGGATCTCCTCTCAAAAATGCCTACCCTACTGATACTGCAATTTGCACTCCTTGCCCTACCATGATACTCTCAATCCCCCTTCATCTGTGTCTATTGTTTCTTTTTTCTGTGGCAAGTATCACCTTCTAATAGGCTTAGTTTATGAGCGTCAAGAGAGTAAGAACTTCTGTCTTTTTTTTACTGTTCTTTCTCAAGAGCCTAGAATAGTGCCTATATGCAGCAGCTGCACAACTGATATTTGTTGAATGAATAAATGAAAAAATGTATAACTAGATATAGATGTCACTTCTCTTATTCTTCTTGGTAGAGCTTCCTGTATCTGTGAATTTATATCTTTCATCATTTCTAGAAAATTCTCAGTCAATACCTTTCAAATATGCTGATACATGTTAGGCCTTTCTCAATCTGTTCTGTATCTCTCTTAAATACAGAATCATATTTTGTCCTCTGTTCACGTTCTGCTGTATTCTGAGTAATTAATTCAGAATTTCATCTTTCAGTTCATTAATTATCTATTTTACTATTTAACATATTTAATTTTGAGTATAACACTTCATTGCTTTGTTTTGAAAAGTTCTATTTGATTCATCTTCATGTATGCCTGAATATTTTTGATGATTTCTTATTTTTTAATTCTATTTTTAATTCTTAAACATTGATTCATGTTCTGTATCAGTCCATATCTGAATTTCTTAGCGACTTCAATCTGAGGTTTACCGTTTCTTTTGTTTCTTGCAAAAGACCATTTCCTTACGTGTTTGGAAATCTTTGATTGTAACTCATACATTGTTCACTTTAACCTGTTGAAACCTGGTGATTTGAGAAGGTGCTTCCATCTAGAGGGGATTCATTTTTATTTCTATTGGCAAGCAAAGGGTACTACCACACTAGGGTCACTTCATGCGTTTTCCAGGATCCAGGAGCTACTCCAGGAGTTTCCGGCCTGACAGTCTACCCCTCTCCTGGCTCTGAGTCTCCTGGTTGTAGCACTAGTGTGATCTACCCGTAATCTCACATGTGCCTCCTGTTCAGGTCCCCACTTTTTAGCTTGTGGGTTGAAAATGGTTTTCCTTTCTGGGATACTTCATTTCTAGTAAGCTCATGAAAAAAATAAATAAAACAATACAATATAACATGCCATCATTTCATAGCAAAAGGACCCTTCAGACTATTTAGTTCCTTCACACTGGTGGATGTGAAAGTCTCAGCAGTTATTTTCCAATTTATTTTTCTATTCCTATCTCATTCCTGTCCTAGTGTGTGTTTGTCATTAAAAGTATGTTCCCTGGCCTTCAAGTCCTCTTTCCTTAATAATATTCCTGCATAATAAGAAAATAATAAATACCATTTATTGAACAATTATTATGGCGGCTCTCTAAGTACTCTATATACATTATTTATTTAACACTCAGATTCCTGTTATACAGTTGAGGAAACTATGAAATAGAGAACTATGTACTTGCAGAGAACTGTGCTTTTTCCAAATTCTAAATAGATATTTATAACCATGGTATTATATGGCTATCCCCTATGTAGCTCTTAATTTGTTATAATCAGTGAGAACTGTTCACATGCCCAAACTCTAAGACAGAAAAGGGCAGGGGACACTTTGAGCTCCGAGGAAGAAAACAAAGGCTTTTTGACAAAAAGTTTTCTTGGGAGTTTCAGATTAGGAGACAGCAATTCTTATATTCCTTCATGAGATTCATGGGCAGCTGCACAACATGAACAGATAAGGAATGATACATGGAGTCACCTAAACGACTGTTGAGAAACTCAGTGAGGATACCGAGCAGGATAATAACAATAACTCAAGACATACTGAGTATTTACTGTGTTCCAGGGATTGTTCTAAGAGCTTTATATTCATTGTCTCATTTAATTCTCACAGTAATGGTATAATGGAGATAACATTATTGTGTTGATGATATGGATAAGGAAACTGAGTCTTATCATCATTCAGAAACTTTTCCAAGTCCTCCAATTACATTATGGAGACAGGATTGGAACTCAAGCTAACTATAGATTTTGGGTATTCTACATTCTTATACTGATATGTGTAAAGTTCTTCTTCTTTGGGTGGCAGAAATAAGACAGTGTTATTTTGGTATCTCTGACTATAAAAGTCTCATTGTTGATGTAAATGGTGCTATAGGAAAATCATTCTTTTGAATAGAAACCTCTCAAACATTCATATACTGGCTCATACGTTTATTAGAAGACTGAGAATAAGGGCTATACTGTTCACTGATTCTTTGCGACCCCTTAGACTGTAGCCCGCCAGGCTCCTCTGTCCATAGAATTCTCCAGGCATGAATACTGGAATGTGTAACCATTTCCTTCTCCAGAGGATCTTCCCAACTCAGGGATCAAACCCAGGTCTCCTGCATTGTAGGCAGACTCTTTACCATCTGAGCCAACAGGGAAGCCCCCCCCCCCTTTTTTTTTTAATGTTTGAATTTCACCTGTACTGCATTTGGCAGAACTGAGTTAATAATTAGAGCTCAACCAAAAGTAAAGTAACTCTCCATCCAATAAGTGTAATTCAGAATACTTGCCTCTAGAGGGTGATGGCCCATTATGGAGTACTGGCCAATTATTAAAGTGTGTGACAGTACCTGGATTAAAAGTCCTAAGTTGAAAGAGAAAAATAGATCGATCACACATCTATAACTATGCAGAGCTGGGCCTTTGATCAGATAAAAAGTTAAAAGACTAAAAGAAATTGTCTGAAATAGTTTTCATTAACCTAAATGGGATTCTTTTCACCTCCTTCTTAATACTCATGAGATATGAGACCAAAGACTGTAGAGAAAAAGAGAAGAATATTTTGATAGCACTTCCCCCACCCAGGATAAAGAAGAAAAAAGTAACAGAGACACTGTATGCAGAATTAAGTAATTTTTCTCAATTTAACACCTTTAGGAAGACGGTAAAGAAGGATTAAATTTACTGGAAGTAAAATGCTTTCTGGTAATTGACAATGGCAACTGAAAAGAAAAAGATTATTTTGATATTTGGTGATTTTAAGACGGGTGGATACCTACCATAAGCTATGATTCCAATCACACCAAAGGTGAAGATCCAGAAAAGCAATCCAGCTGTGAACCTCAGGAGCATCACAAACATCCAGCTGAGGAGCATGGCAATAGTCAGGCCACTGGAGGATAAAAAGCACAACAAACATAGGGGGCCAGTGTGCTAAACATAACAAACATACCAAAACAACACTTATTTCTATTCAAAATAATTCTTGATTATTTTATCTGACTGTAGAAACATTTATGACATTAAAAAGTATAAGCAATTCTTTCTGTTAAGACTTTCAAGGGAAACAATAGGATCATCAGAACTTGATACATGAATCATTTTTGGTGCAGCAGCTGGTAAATGCAAATTCTGTGTCCATAGTTGTTTCAGGAAAAGTCACAATTCCTATCTGCTGTAGTCTTATTTTTTTTCCTTCATACTTACACACCAAGTGATAAGCTACAAAGCATATCCATGAGATGTTATTGCTGCTCTATATACCTGGTCACTAATGAAAACCGTATGTGATATAACTAGCAGTAAGAGAACAATCTTAGGGCAGAAAGACAAGCAAAATAATTGTCCTACACAGTTCCTGAATCCATGATTTTGTAGCCATTATCATTCTGGTCTAATTATCTCTAATCGTTTGTGATGTCTAACATCACCAGACACTTATTTCAGATCCCCAGTGATCTGTGGGCCATTATCTGGAGCCGGGATAAGGCCTCTGTGTCTCCTGGGCCATGTGACTTTATCAAGCAATCAAGAACATGACTGTTTTCTTTGGTTTAATTTCTTCCTGGGGTTTGATTGAGTCCTGGAGGTACTTCTTCCCAGCTCCACTATATATCCAGGTTAGAGTCATATTGGATTTTTCTAAGTGATTTCATCAAAGAGAACTCACTAAAATTGGAAATTTGGCTGATGCCTTTATTAAGACCTGACACCGCTGGTGATATCTGCAAGTTTCCAAATAGCAACAGACAGCCTGGCACAGTTACCAAGCTTATTGTCTTCAGATGTTATCTTTAAGAAGAAACTATTAATAATACTGTCACTGGATAGATGACAGCATGTACCAGAGTACTTTCTCAGTGCACGGTCTTACAGAGCCTGGGCTTTTAATTTAGAAGCAAACTACAGATACTTTAATGCTGAACTATGCAGTCTGATTGAAAAATTATTCTATAGCATCAGACAAGAGGGTTATTAAAAAAAATATTGGGGCAGGGGGTGGGAGGCTTCCCTGGTGGCTCAGTGGTAAAGAATCCTCCTGTCAATACAGGAGACACAGGTTCAATCCCTGGTCTGGGAAGATCCCACATGCTGCGGAGCTGCTAAGTCCATGTGCCATTAACTATTGAGCCTTTGTTTTAGCGCCCCAGAACTGCAACTAGTGAAGCCCTCACCCTAGAGCCTGTGCTCGGCAACAAGAGAAGCCACCGCAATGAGAAGCTCCCACTTGCTGCAACTAGAGAAAAGCCTGTGCAGTAACCAAGACCCAGCACAGTCAAAAATAAAAATAAATAAAATAAACATTTTAAAAACAAGATCAGAGGGGAAAAATAAGAACTATAGTTCTTGACTACTTGTGTTTTTAATTCCCACTTAAAAAAATTCTGAGTACACTAAGTCCCAGCATGTCAGTGTTTGGCTTTATATGCATGAAACGGATGAGAACAGAGAGCTGATAATAAAGGGAGGTGTTTATGCTCTAGTGTTTAGTCTCTGGGTAGAGAATATTTCAGAGTGTGTGAGGAGGACAGGAGAGTCTGTTATAAATTATACCTTTCTCAGGTGAGAGTAGAAAAGCCAAAATAAAGAAGAGACAGAAATTATCTAGCGATATTCAGGCCTGACAATAGGGGCACCAGTTTCCTATCAAGTATAAACTACAATCCCTGCCATGGAGATATATCCTGAAACACACTGAAAATAATTACTCTGTTCAAGACAAAGCGCAACAATGTAAAACCTCACAAAACTGTCTAGTTTTATAGTTCTAAAAACTGCTGCTGCTGCTGCTAAGTCGCCTCAGTCGTGTCCGACTCTGTGCGACCCCATAGACGGCAGCCCACCAGGCTCCTCCATCCCTGGGATTCTCCAGGCAAGAACACTGGGGTGGGTTGCCATTTCCTTCTCCAATGCATGAAAGTGAAAAGTGAAAGTGAAGTCGCTCAGTCGTGTCCGACTCTTAGCGACCCCATGGACTGCAGCCCACCAGGCTCCTCCGTCCATGGGATTTTCCAGGCAAGAGGACTGGAGTGGGGTGCCATTGCCTTCTCCAGCTCTAAAAACTACTCCCTAGTATTTTACACACAATACAATTTTGACTTTATTAAGCACCTTACTTAAATATATCTATCTTGTCCCCCTAGTACTTTTATAACTGTTTCTTAAACCCACATTTTCTATGTATCTCTACAGTCCAAGAACTGTACTAGGACTCTGGAAAACAAAGACAAGTTAGACATAGTTACCATAGTAAGAGTTCATAGTTTATCAGAGGGAAAGAGACGGGTAAATAAAATACAAGATGGTAGGTGCTATACAGAAGATAGATATGTGTGTTTACAAATATGTATGTACACACATACACACACACACACAATGAATGAGGAACACAAAGGCGCAAGTAATTTACTATATCTAGGGAAGTTAAGAAGATACCATAAGTGACACAAAAGCTGATTTTAAATAATGAGATGAAGTTTCCCAGGGCACAACGGCGGATATTCTAGGAAAGAGAATAGAATGTGCAAAAACACAAGGGTGTAATGGTCTGAGAATGGGTGTGCTATTTGCTGTGTTTAGAATATAGGGTTAATCAAGAAACATGGATGGAGATAAATCTGGGAAAGTAAGTTGGATAGGTTGTAAGAGTTCTTGTAAGTATATGAAGAAGTTTCCACTTTATTCTTTGATTACTAGGGAATCATAGATGCCTTTAAGGTACGGTACAAGAAGGTGACACAAAAGCCAGATAGTAATGACAGCCTGAGGGATATCAAACACATGTACCTGCTCTGGAGGACTGACTACATTTTCCTTTATGTTTAAGAATGCAAATCTTATGTCTGAAAATTTAAGACCTCTTCCTCCTTTCATATATCTTTTTCAGCTTTTCATAAGTATAGTTAGTTTGATGATGATGATAACAAATGTTATATGGAAGGGCTGCATTAAAAAATAAGAATGATCCTTTGGAGATCAAGGGAAGGACAAATTTTATATGTAGTGAAAGGCCCACACATACCACAGTGAGGCCACATGGGACTTGAAATATATGAATACTCTTACTAGTAATTTAATGAGTAAAATTAAAATTTACATTCTTATAACTTTTTGCTAATATTGGGCAGATTTCCAAATATTTTGGGCTCTTCACTCTGTCTGAAAAAGAAACTGGCAGGAACTGAAATCTGAGTCACTCTCTCATTCATGAATATGAATGGGGAATTTGATGAAAGAAATTCTACAAAGATAAACTCAGAATGGGGCTGGAGACGAAACACTTATGTTTTCACTTACATGAGAATCCAATACCATGTTGTTGCATAGTCTTCAAACACCTTCACTCCAATTGCCCTTGCATCAAGGGCTTTATTGATACCACTAAATTCAAAGAAGAAAAAAAATCAATTATTTTTTGACTACCACTAAAAAGAAATGTTCTTGTTACAATAAAAGGAACTTGGAAGCTTATGTTCTAAGAATATTTTTAGAAACCATTTATCGCTAGTGACCCTTTTGCTAGCCACAATAATACATGCGGTGTCACTTTGGTGAACCTACAAAGGTAGCTACAGCTACACACGGAGGAAGCATTGCTTTCAAGAGTGGTAAACATACCTTTTTTCCAACATATGCAACATGCCCTCAGTGTTGCAGAGACCTCATTATAAGACATGAATTTAAATTAGATCAGCTTCTAACTTATAAAATCCATAGAGCTAAGAGTGAATATGATACTTAATTTCCCCTTCTTAATCTTCTGACACTCTGTAGCAGAAGGCACAAAGAGGCACATGCAGAAAAGTACACAATAATTAGCATCCAGCTGGATGGGTTATCAAAGTGAACACACTTGGTAAGTACAACATAGTCATTCCTTCCCTCCATGTCCTCCAATTACAATACCTTTCCCTTCCCCTAAAATAACCATAATTTTGACTTTTGTGATTATAATTTCCCAGTTTTCTTAGTTGTACCATATATATATGCATCATAGTGTAATTTTAATTTAGTTGGGCTTCCCAGGTGGCACTAGTGGTGAAGAACCTGCCTGCCAGTGAAGGAGACTTGACAAGAGATGTGAGTTCGATCCCTGTATTAGGAAGATTCCCTGAAGGTGGGCATGGCAACCCACTCCAGTATCCATGCCTGGAGAATCCCATGGACAGACGAACCTGGCAGGCTACGGTCCATAGGGTCGCAAAGAATCGGACATGACTGAAGCAACTTAGTACACATGTGCTTACTTCAAAATTTTATCAATGGAATTGTACTATTAGAACAATACATTTTTGCAATATATTTTTTATTTTAAATTCAACAACTGAGCTGTGCAATGATACTGTGTTTATATTTGTATACACACATCTATGTGCATGAGAAAATTATATTTCCAAATAACGTGGAACACCACGATGCATACAGCTAAGAGAAACAGAAAATTTACTTCACTGTAAATAGTAATAGAAATTCAACACAGTACAGCACAGCAGCATCGTGGTTGTTTCACCTTTCTTAAGACTCCCTTCCATTTAAAATAGCTGGCAGTTTTATTATTTCAGTCATTTTAAAAAAAAATGATGCTTTAAAAAATCATGGGTTTTTAAAATTATGCTCATCCAAAAGTAAATTATATTAAGGTGCTTCAATATGTTTCCTGATGTCTCATTTATGTACCTGTTGATGATGAAAGACTTAACCAGTTTGAAAAACATAATTGTTCTTTCAAATTCACTCTGCTTTTTCCTTTGGTTTTCTTAACGAACACATACCAATTTCTCCAATCCACAGTGACATGAATATTTCAGAATAACACATAATTCTTCCTCTATAATGCTTAACCTAACAAAGCTTTAGTTCAGGGATAATAAAGGGGTGCATCAAAATTGAAAATGGGGATGTGATCAACATACTTTGCAGCTATTCTGAGTTCTGCAGCATTTCTTGTCTTTCCACTTCCATCATCAAATATTGTCTTATTTCCTACTGTTAAAGTGCCATTTTTAGTAGAGAAGTCTGGGAAACATCTCTGGAGAACTGTAAAAATAAATTAAAATTATGATAATCACTTTTCTTTCTTTACGATGTCCTCTCTTTCTTCAGCTTTCTGTTGTTTATAATCAAATGCTTGCTTGCTAGACACTATATAACTTGCTCAGTATAGATAACTGCCCATTACTTGATAATCAGATTTTTTGATGATTCTAAGACAGACATGGGAAATAAATACAATCATAATCTGAAGCTACATTTAAACTTGATTATTTCATACATGGTATATTCATTAAGTAACCATAAGCAGGACACGTAGCACAGGTTTTATAAGAATAATACTGACAACCTCGCTCTCATACTAAACACATCTTAATAAAAAGGCTATATTTACTTGTATTAGATGAATTTAGTTTTGTTATTTTTAAAAAAATTCTTAGATATTCCTTGAGTGAAACCTTGAAAACCAGAGTTTAGTGAATAATTCTTTGAGAAATAAGCATCAGCTCAAACTTTAGGCTACTAAGATAACCAAATTTTTATTTATAAAACGTTAATAATTTGTCTCTCTTCCAGCTTTTTCATTTATCATTTTTTTTAGAGCGGCTGGAAATGGAAATATAAAGGCCATCAAAAATGGCCCATACTTGTCAACTAGCATGATTTCTGAGAGTTTACCATTCAATCTTTTATGTACTTGTTTTTAATTCAACAGAATCTTTGCTTCTCTACAAATCTCTATTACTAAAAATGTTTTAAAACCTCAATTATACAGGAAGAAAGAGGAGGAATCAGGAATGGTTTATCTTTATATTTTTTTTTACAAGAAGTATTACAGACTTGCAGGGGTTGATATGGAGTTTAAACCTGAAAATATGAAAGCAGTTGATATAGAGAAAGAATTGTCTTCATAAAGCTTTTCCTGACTTATCTGGCTTTAAAATCAGTTTGTCTACTCACCTTCATCTTCTGTAGCATCTGTAATAGGGATGAATGCTTCAGTATCCTCTCTTTGTCCTGCTCCTCCCTGGCAAATTTGACATAGTCTCTACCAGATGATTCTATTCCCTCTCAATTCAACCGTATTTCTGCCTCCACCTCGCCATGGAAACTGTCCTCCCAGTAATCCCAATGACCCCCTAACTGCCAAAACTTCTAAATACTTTTTACTCTTCATCCTGCTGGAGCCCATTACCTAGCACAGTGCTTGGGACAGAACAGAACTCAGTAAATCTTTGCTGTTGAATGAGTAATTTTTCTGTTGAATGAGTCTTTGACACAGGAGACAAGCCCTGCCCTTTATAACTCTCTCCTCTTGGTTCACAGGCCCAGGTTCTCTCCTACCCGCTCTTCTGCCTTTTTGTTTATGTCTCTTCTTTTTGTTTCTTCAATATGACTGATCCCACATACAGAACCTCCCAAACTTGTTTTATGTAGTATTTCTGGACAGTAACTCATCTAGTCTGTTACCTTTAATTACTAAATATGCTCATTATATTTTTGGAAACTAGAGAAAAATTCTTGAAATAAGATACAAAACTGTACAGAGTTTTACAAGCTACAGTGAACTATATTAACATTTTGGTGCATTTCCTTTCAGTCTTTCCTCTGTATACATTTTTTTGTTGAGAGTTATTAACTATACAGAAATGAGATATTGTCTCTTGTTTTTCTTTTATTTTTACTTATTTCCATTTATAAAATCTTTAATGAGTTAATTTTTTTAGCTGCATAACATTGTTTCAAGTACTATATTTAATTCCCTGTTGGGGGGATACAAATTGATTTCAATGTTTCCTTCACTAGACTTTGAAGGACTGTGCCTTATTCATTTTTGTGTCCCCAACGTGGGCTTCCCTGGTGGCTCACTGGTAAAGAATCTGCCTGGCAATGCAGGAGATGTAGGTTTGATCCCAGGGTCAGGAAGATCCCCTGGAGAAGGAAATGGCAACCCATTCCAGTATTCTTGGACTGCCTGATGGCAAAGTTGGTAAAGAACCCACCTGCAATGCGGGAGACCTGGGTTTGATCCCTGGGTTGGGAAGATCCCCTGGAGAAGGGAAAGGCTACCTACTCCAGTATTCTGGCCTGGAGAATTCCATGGACAAAGGAACCTGATGGGCTACAGTCCATGGAGTTGCAAAAGAGTCAGACATGACTTAGCAACTAAACAACATCCCCAAAGTACATTTTATATTGTGTGATCTAAATAAACTATAATTGTAAAGTCGGGGACTATATCTTATATACCTAATGTATCTTCCGTGACTAATGATTCATTTTTACCCTTTTGCATAAAAATCTGTAACACTGTTCTTAACTACAGACACTGTTGTTCAGGGAATCCTGGTTAAATGCAGTTGCTTGCCAGACCCACAACTTTGATGGAGGGTCTTTAATGATCCAGAGAAGAATGATGGGAGCATGTAAGACATTGTGTTTGATGGTTGCTAACTCAATGGTACCTGACTTTCTACTGAAACTGATGATTATGATCTTTCTTCCATTTTAAAAGAAATATGTACTTCTTGTGGAAAGAAGGAAAAAGGAGAAAGAAAAGAGAAGACAGAAAATGGCCATAGTTTTGCTATCTCCAAAATAAGCTCAGTTCAGTTGCTCACTGGTGTCCGACTCTTTGTTACCCCATGGACTGCAGCACACCAGGCCTCCCTGTCCATCACCAACTCCCAGAGCTTACTCAAACTCAAGTCCATTGAGTAAGTGATGCCATCCAACCATCTCAATCTTTGTCATCCCGTTCTCCTCCTGCCTTCAATCTTTCCCAGCATCAGGGTCTTTTGAAACGAGTCAGTTCTTCACATCAGGTAGCCAAAGTATTGGAGTTTCAGCTTCAGTATCAGTCCTTCCAATGAATGTTCAGGACTGATTTCCTTTAGGATGGACTGGTTGGATCTCCTTGCAGTCCAAGGGACTCTCAAAGAGTCTTCTCCAACACCACAGTTCAAAAGCATCAATTCTTCGGCGTTCAGTTTTCTTATAGTCCAACTCTCACATCCATACATGACCACTGGAAAAACCATAGCTTTGACTAGATGGACCTTTGTTGGCAAAGTAATGTCTCTGCTTTTTAATATGCTGTCTAGGTTGGTCATAACTTTTCTTCCAAGGAGCAAGCGTCTTTTAATTCCATGGTTGCAGTCACCATCTGCAGTGATTTTGGAGCCCAAAACAATAAAGTCTGTCACTGTTTCCCCATCTATTTGCCATGAAGTGATGGGACCAGATGCCATGATCTTAGTTTTCTGAATGCTGAGTTTTAAGCCAACTTTTTCACTCTCCTCTTTCACTTTCTTCAAGAGGCTCTTTAGTTCTTCTTCACTTTCTGCCATAAGTGTGGTGTCATCTGCATATCTAAGGTTATTGATATTTCTCCCATCAATCTTGATTCCAGCTAATTACTTAATATTTTGGCATATTTCTCTTCAATCTTTTTCTTTGAATATATTGTTGTTTATTAATTTTCATTTTTACAGGCTTGTCATTACAATGTATATAGTATTTTTTATTTTATTTAAAATTGTAACAAACAATATTTATCATATGTAAAAATTCTAAAATATTTCATTTAATAAATGCATCATAATTTATTTCAGTATATTCTTGCTCTTGGATATTAGAATATTTCCTTTTCTTTTTTTCTTCTTTTGGTTGTTTTGAATAACATTGTGATGGACATCTTTATGTAAAGTTAGAATTATATCCTTAAAAAAGGAAAATGAGTGATTATCTCATTTTCTCCTAAACAGGGTTTAAGTTTATAAATTTTAAAGACATACAATGTCAGTTCATTCAGGAGACATATAAGTATTTCATGTTTTAAATTATAAAGACAAATATATACCCCATTCTCAATCCCCAAGCAATTTTCCAACAAAATTTTTGGCCGAATTCAGGGGTAGGTGTGTTAGGGAATGTCTGTGTGTGGCTCATGTGTGTTCTTAGAGTAGCAAAGAATCAAACTGACTGAACTTTTAATATTCAATTTTCAAACTTTTCTTTGTGCGTTTATGCCACCAAACCTAAAACCTCACTAAGCTCCTGGGGAACACCCTAGGCTGGAGTTAGAAGAATGGGCTTTGTAGCTTTGGCTTTCTTCTCAATTAACTCTGGGACTCTGGGCCAGTCATAGAACCATTCTCAGCCTCAGTTTTGTCAATTGTAAAATAAGCGAACTGAATTAACTAACTTCTAGGTAGATCCTGTGTTTCTGAGGTAAAATAATAACCACTTACAAGGTTTGCTTGGATAAATCGCTGATGGACAATCATTATCCAGTAAAACTTGTGAGAGAGTCTAAAATTGAAGGAAGAGTGTGTTAACATTTCAAAGACTATGTGATGATGCATCTTACTCAATATATAAATTATGTCCTTTAAAAATGCATTTCCCTAATAATTTCCTTATTCCAAATTACTCCCCTAGTAAGAGTAATTGTAAGATTATCATACACACATACTTGTTTGACAAACACTCTTAAATATCCTAACTGTAATTCAGTTGAATCAACAATAATAAGTCAGACATGCTGAAACCAAGGTATATCTTTGAAGGTGTGTATCTTTGTCTTAGTTATATCCTCAGTCTAATGCTTTTATTTTTTCCTGGAAAAATGATATCTCCTCTAATTTAGAAGCCATCACAACTAATTAACATCATAAGGCTTTAGAATTCCCTTATAAATCTTAAGTCTAGGTAGTATTTGGGGATTTTTTTTCAAATGAATAATTATCAAACCAGGTTTGGAAGTAAAGTTCTTGTTACTCCATAGCCATGGAGCTTTATCACCACATTAATGAAATGGTAACCACAAATTACATTTAGCTCCTAGTTCTTGACAGCAAAAAAATCCATCCAAGTGGAGAATCTGTTGGTGTCAGGAAATAGTTGATACTAACTTATCAGACCTAATAGTCCTGTATAACATCCCAAGTCTACAAAATGATATGCTCTAAATTGTGTTATGTTTGTATATACATGTGGATTTGTGCTTTAATGAAATGGTAACACTAGTAATAATTTCCTGGAAAATTTTGGAGCTTGTCCAGTTACAAATACATTACACTTGAGATTGAAACAATATAAATTCTTCTCTCTTTTTAAGCTTAAACACACATACCTCCACAGGCTTAAGAAAAGTAGTCCGGCAGAACTGGCTGTAGTATGTCCAGTATTTACTGTCATTTTTGTACTTAAATTGTATTTCCATGTAAGTTAAGAATCTTTCTGGGCACTTGGAGACACAGATCTGTGAAATAAAGAAACACAGTGGCAGGAACTGAATTGAACTGAACAAACCAAGGAATTATCTACAAGGTTAGACTTCTAAATTAACCATCATAATAAAAAAGCAAAGCACCATTTTCCATTTAAGAAACTTAAATCAATTTTCTAAACATATTGTAAAAAATTAAATTTCATGTACCAGCTATCAACCTCTACTCCTTGCCCTTGGATGTTAATGTGCTATTAAAACAATAAGATACTATACAATGACAAAATTATTTTTAACTTCTGATTTGATATAGTTTTAGATCTTCACACATCTGTAAAAATAATAAATTCCATGTACCTTTCACCCAGTTTTGGCCAGTGGTAATAATTCACATAACCATAGCACAATATCACAACCAGGAAACTGGTATTGTTACAATCCACTAACCTTATTCAGTTTTTACCAGTTTTATGGGTGTTCATGTGTGTGTGTGTGCAATTTTATCACTTGTAGATGTGACATCATTCACAGGACAGAGATAAACTTTTAATGAAATTTTTAACGATTTTTTGAATTAGTTGATAAGAGTTTAATCCAAGATTAATTTTGCCTGTGTAGTTTGTAAATTTTCAGGGTTAGAATCTTGCTTTCTTTTCTATGTATGAATAGAATGGTAATTAAAAATGCTCCAAACATTGATAACTTATGCCACTAAGAACTATCAAAACCAGTGAATTCTCAGAACATAATTGGGGGTTTATACCATAAGAAACTAACAAAAAATATGGATATTTGTGGTAATCAATCATTATTATTGTCTTTTAGCAACACCAGTCAAATGCGGGCAGAGAGGTCACTGATGCAATTATCTTTAATGAACTTTAGGGGCCTATTAATGCCAAGTCAGATCACTGTGCCAGTCCACAGAGCTACTCTGGAGTGACTGCAGTCCAGTTAGTAACTCCACAGAGAGAAAACACAGTCAGGGAGGAGGCACTCTGTTTATTTTGCTTTTGTAAGTAATAAAAAACCAACGATCACATGATGTCATGAGAGCTGCAGTCAATTCTTGAACATTCTCTCCTCTGCCTTCAGTTCCTACTTATGGAAGCCCTCTCAGCTCTGACTTGCTCCATCTCCATACTGTACTGTGGTAACTATTCTCACTGGCCAGACTGTAGCTCAGCCCCCACTGGTAGAACACAGCTGCTAAGCTGATATCTCTTTCCTATCTTTTGGTCATGTTTCTGCTACATGAGGACATTTGGTATCAACACCACAGCTAAGGTAGGAGGTGGATAATTAAATGGGTACCTCAGATCTCATAGTTAATTGTTTTGTAGCAGCAGCATTCCAACTTCTTTTAGAAGTTTCTAAAAGGTAAACAACCCAACTCCATGTTCACACCTCCAGATGTATTTTCTGTTTCTTAGTCTCTCCTACACACTTGTGCGCACACACACACACACACACACACAAGTACATACACACATTCATGCACATCTAGAGGAAATAATGAAAGTCTCACAGGCATCTTTCTATGAAAACTGAAGAACTGTTGACGGACATTCACAGCATCCAACAATCTCACATTTGGGGGAAGAAGACTGAGGTCATTGTCAATACAAATGTCCAAAGTTTGCTCTGATTGGAGTTAAGCTGAAAAAAACCATTAACATGTTTGGAGCTAGCTCACAGACATTTACACTTTGGCAATTTACTTATAAGACTCTGGAAGATAACTGAACTAGCCCATTGTTTGATACACTTACATAGATTTATAAAGTAAAAACTGAATGTATTAATGCCTTCACTGGCTTTAAATGATGGTAGGAACTACTGAGCTGAGGCCATGATGATTTCTGAATTTATAAACACACACATACAATGTATACTACACACATAGAAGTGTGTATGCAACATGTGGACTTCCGAGGTGGCTCAGTGGTAAAGAATCTGCCTGCCAATGCAGGAGATGCAGGAGATGTCAGTTCAATCCTTGAGTCGGGAAGATCCCCTGGAGGAGGAAGTGGCAACCCACTCCAGTATTCTTGCCTGAAAAAATCCCATGGACAAAGGAACCCGCAGACTACAGTCCACGGGGTTCTCAAAGAGTCAGACACAGCTGAGCAACTGAGCAAACATGCAACATATAAAAGAAAGTAATTTAAATGTTAAAAAATGTTTTGTTAAAGAGACTCACATCAAATTTCATTCCAAAGATAAAGGAGCTGTTAAAAAACAATATAGCAACTGCTCTTTACTCTCTATCAGAACTGTTTGTTCACTATAAATACAATGCTGATTAGTAGCAATCAACATATAATTAGCCAAAAATGAAGGTCACATTGAGGTTGGATATCCTAATTGATCAAGGTTTGTCCTTTAAATGCTTATGACACATGTCTGGACCATGCTGGACATGTTTTCCCAGTTAACGGAAAACATAATGCATAAAAATATGGCTTGGGTCAGTAGATACATTATTACCTGGCAGACTGAGCAATTCTGCATTATTGGCAGCTGATATATATTCTGACTCAGTTCTGATTCTTTGTATAACCACACAGGGGCACCTTGAATATAGTTCTTCATCATTATTTTTACATATTCTGTTCATATGCAATTAACACTCTAATATAAATTAGGATTTGGTGAACGGAAGAGAAAGTTACACTGAAGGTTAAAACAGTACAGTTCCATTGAAGAAAAGATCTAAGTAACTGAAATGTTTAACAAAAAGCACAGTGTGGAAGGATTTTTTGTTTCATCATAGAATGATGGATTTGTATAGTATAGTGGAAAAATTTCTAGACTGGCGATAGTAAAATAGTAATTCTCTCATCATTTACTTCTCATCATTTAATTCTATTATTCATTTACTCTTTAATTCATCAAATATTTATCAACCACCCACTCTGAGCCTGTTCTAGGCACTGGGGTCACAACAGTGAACAAAAGAGATAAAAATCCCTACTCTCAAGCAGTTTTCTCAAGCATCTCTTCCTAGTAGGAAGAGATGGGTAACAACAAATAAGTAAAATTGTTTGCTGTAAGTATTCTTGCCTGGAGAATCCCATCAATAGAGGAGCCTGGCAGGCTACAGTCCATGGGGGAGCAAAGAGTCAGACACTACTGAGTGACCAAGCACCCACGATGGTAGTAGTTGTTATAGAGAAAAATAAGGCTAGAAAGAAGGCCAGATGATGAAAGGATCCAGGATGGGATTCTAACTTTAAACAGGTAGTCAAGGGAGGTCTCACTGAAAAGGTAATATTTGAGGAAGACTTGAAGAAGACTAGTGATCAAACTATAGTCATCTGGAGAAAGAGGAGGCTAGGCAGGGAGAACAGCGAAGTCTAGGTGCTTCTGTGAATCCTTTGAAGACAATGGATAGTCACTATGACGTGAGTGCAGTGAGCAGAGGGAGACACAGAGCAAATGTGGTCAGAGGCAGGCATACAGTGAAGGACCCTGGAGCACACTGTTAGGACTTTGGCTTTTAATATGTGTAACCTGGGAAGCTATTGAGGGAAAGGGGCCTGAGCAAAGGAGGGATATAATGTGACTGATACTTAACAGGATCATGCTGGCTGCTGGGTGGAGAAGAGACTAAAGGACTGGAGGCAGGGCCAAGAACAGAGGCAGAGAGACCAGCCAGGGGTCACTGAAACAATACACTGGCTCCTTGAAAAGAGGAGGAGATGGTTAAAAGTAATTTGGTCCTGGGTAGATTTTGAATGGAGACCAGAGGAATTAGCTCACAGCTCAAATATGAGTACAAGAGATAAGAGGGATCAAGGATGATTCCATGGTTTTTAGAGTTGGCCTTAACTAAAAAAGAACAGACTGTTGGGGGTGGGGGGACAATTTTAGGGATAAAGTCAGAGACTTTCAGGGGTTGAGTTGAACATGTTAAATTTGAGATGCCAACTGAATATCCAAGTAGAGACATGACATAGGTTGTTGGATAGAAAGAACTGGAGTCCTGGGAATATACATATATAAACTAGGAAGGGCAGTATATAGATGGTAGTAAAACCAAAAGACTAGGTGTGATCACCAAAGGGGTAAATATATATTTTGAAGAGGGCTAAGCCTGAGAAGGAAATGATAACCCACTTCAGTATTCTTGCCTGGAGAATCCCATGGACAGAGGAGCCTGGGAGGCTACAGTCCACGGGTCGCAGAGTCAGACACGACTGAGCGACTTCACTTCACTAAGCCTGATGGAGGAGGAAACTCCAGTGTTTACAAGGGGCTGGGAAGATGAGCAGAAACCATCAAAGAATCCTGAGAGGGAGGATCCCTAGAATTAAGAGGAAAGAGAATGTTATGTCCTAGGAACCAAGTGAAGAAAGTACTTTAAGGAAGAGGGATTGATTAAACAATACTATTGGATCAAGTAAATATGGATAGAGAATTGACCATTGGTTTAAATATATGGAGATCAGTGGTATCATTTGGAGAAAATGGAGTAAGAATAAAAGCCTGATAGCAAGTAAGAAAGGATTCAAACACATCGGATATAAATTATTCTTTTGAGGAATTTTGCAAAAAAAAAAAAAAAAAAAAAAGAGGCACAAAGCCATGAAGCAGTAACTGGAAGGGGATATGGGATCAAGGAGAAAACTTTTTAATATGGAAGAAATAACAACATGTTTTTCTACTGATGGGGATGATTTAGTAGAGAAGGAAAATGGCAATAAAAAAATAAAGGAAGATTTCTGGAGTTGTGTGCTGGAGTTTGTGAGTGAGGATAAGATCTAATGCACAAGCAGATGGTCTGGCCTTGGGCGCACAGGCTGTCCCTCCAGAGAAGAGCAGGGAAGGCAGAGTAAATACATGAACACAGATAATGGCAGGAAGGTCAGTGTGGGAACCTGTAAAAGTTGTCTTCTGAATGCTGATATTTTCACAGTGAAATAGGAAGCCAAGTCAAAGGCTGATAGAGACTGGGAAGGAGGGCTTGGAGGTTTGAGGTGAGAGGAAAAGGTGTGAAATTGTTTTCTAGCAGAGTAGCTAGTGAATAA